AGACGCTTGGAAGACTGTGAAGGGTCGAACGCATGCAAACGAGAACGTGTACTCTTCTGGAGAGAAGATCGTTCGTGTCAAATTAGTATAAATAGGAGTCTCTAATTTAGATTTATGTTTGTTCAATTATTGTACAAATTACTCTATTCACTCAAAGAATCAAAGTTAATCGAGAAACGAGTTTCTGAGAAATGTACGTATGAAACACCACATTTATTTTTGATATCAATTTACTTTTGTTAAAATCATTTATATTCCCTTTAGAATTTCAGTCGAATTCTTTTCCTTTCCTGTCATTTTCATAAATCGTTTTGTCATTTCTTTCCAATTTACTTTCGTTGTCGAATAGATTACTATCCAAAAAAATTTAAAAACACAAATTATACACACTGTCCTATGATCAATCTAGTCGATCCTGTAAGTAACCAAAAAATATCATATTTTAGAAGACTAGCGGTTATTTATCAAATTTCACGGTAAATAATATACTTACTTGTACTGCAAGTAACAACTAAAACACATATTAATTGGATTATATTACAACAATTTTTGAAAAATGATTTTTAATTAGAATTTATTATAGTTATTTTTTGTAAATAAATTCAAACATAAATTATTTTTTTTAGAGAGAATCAATTTTATATAAATAATTAATTAAAAATCAAAAAATTTACTGCATAATCAAATACACGTTGTTATGTTGTTTAACCTTCTCATTTATCTAATTTATTTTGTAAATGTGATATTTGGCTTAGAAAAGGTGCAAATTATGTGTTATGCATAAATGTATTTTATTTTACACAATTATTTTTTCTAGAGCGCCCCTTGAAAGAACAAGAGATGCATTCATTCCACCTGCGAAAGTCTCTTAACCACCTCTAAATGTCCCCTTTTGGCTAGTATTATCAAAAATCTAGAAAGAAAAGTGGGGGCTTAATAGAGCTTGCATCTAAGGCGAGGTTTATCATAACAAAACTGTTATTTCTAGTTTTTGTGTGTAGAGTTACTTCTTATCTAGTTTTTGCGTGTGTAGAGGATTATCCTTTTTATAAAAGTTTATGTCATTGGATATTTCTTTAAATGTAAATAGAATTTTTTAAGATTTTATGAGTGCACTGTACCAGAATTTTCAAAGATCGTGCTAATTTCTTCACTGAGATGTTTTTCCATATATTTTAATTAACTAAGATAGTGAACTAGGCTAAACTTGAACTTTGTATAGTCTATCTTTGTCAAAACTTATCAAAAATAGGTGCAACACACGAGTTTAGATTTTAATTTCACTTCCAATTTCAATCTGTTCGTTTCATTTCTTCAATATTGCTTTGATTTCTGTTTCGCTTGTTTATGATTTTTCTTTTGACCTAAAAACTTAATTTCTATGATTTATATACATGTAATTGTCTTTTGAAGGATATTGAAACTGAAAACTTTATCTAAATCGAGACGGTGAAACAAAAGTGTTTAGAGTAAAATTAGAATTAAAAAAATTATTTTAAAAATGGTCTAGATGTAAACATGTTAAAAATTAGGGAAAATCTAAGAAAGATAAGAACGGGATTAAAAAGACGGCGAGTGAAGTAAAAATTCAAACTTTTGACAGATTAGGTCAATTTTTAAGAATCAAAGAGGAAGAAAAACCTATATATTTATATAAGTTTGTTAAGTGATTATAACTATAATTGTCTTCTCTAATCACATCCAAAATTCGGATTATAATGTCTACTTTATCCATTTTTTGGTTTCAGTGTCAGGTTCCACTAGATGTTTTTAATTATGGAGTCAAAGCAACTTCACTCCAATGATATAGAATGGCCATCAATAGTTGCATAGAGCTGCATCATCCATTGGCAATTTGCAAGTGCTTCTAATGTGTGTTTGTCAGACTCCAATTAAATTAGTTTTGTAATTTAATAATATATTTGGATTGAGGGTTGATAGAATTAATTATAATAGAATTGAGTTTTAAAAAAGTGATTTTAACAGAATTGAATTTAGTATAATTAATTTATCTTTGGATACGTTTATGTAATAGTGAGTTAAATAATAAATTTTAATATAAAAATTATCCAAAATCAATTATAGATGTAGAAACTACAATTTTAACTTTAAGTAGAATCAATTCTAGAAACAGAATTAATTCTATTTTTAACAAACCAAACACTTTAAAATCATCCAAAATCAATTTTATATCTCTAGAATTGATTTTGAGTCATATAAGATATAAGGTGAAACCAAATATACACTTAAGTAATCTAATTATTGTATACATTTAGTTTAAGTGTCAGGAGCATATTTAAGCCTTTACCTATCGTACTTCCCACACAACACATGGGTTCTGAATAAATATGTTTGCAAAGAAGCTTTTATTGTCTATTGTAATTTGTATCACAAATAAGTTGTTTGTGTTTGCAAAGAGGCTTTTATTGTCTATTGTATTGTGTATCACAAATAAGCTAAACATGGTTTGTGTATGAATCTAATAATTTAACTTATTGTTATTGTTCTAGTTACTACTAGATGTAGGAGAAGGTGAGGGTAAGGCAATGTACATCGATGTTGAGGGAAAATAATTTATTTACTAGAGTTCTGTAACAGTCAGACTCTAGAATAAACTGAACCTAATTGCTAGATGATAAAAATGATTGTGTTGGTTTTGCTACCTAATTGCTAGATGATAAAAATATTTGTGTTGGTTTTGCTTTGTTTTTTGTTTTATTTTATTTTAAAAAATTGAATATAAGAAACTCATTGCAATATCATTGGTCACTCATTTGGGACATGTAAAAGGAGAAATACTGTATAATTTTAGATGAAAATACCAAAACCAAAAGTACGGGGGTGGGCAGAAAATCTATGTCCCAGTGCAAAACAAAAACAAGGAACAGATGAAAGAGAAAGTTGATCTATTAGATTATCTTTGGCTGGAAGTCTGTTATGGAATAACCTCCACGCTAAGCATGAAACTTTTGAAGGAATCGATTTATGCCATACGACGGGCCATGATTTACTACTATCTGTTCTAATATCCACTTGCAACAACTTATACATCTCCTTCACATAATACTCATCTAGTTGTTCACGGTCTCCTATGTCTAAGTTACAAATATCTATCCACCACAAAGAACTATGAGAATCGCATGCTCTAGAGATTCTGTCATTTCCATCATATATGTCGTTCAAAATTTTAAATCATAATCTATCTCTTTCCTTTCTGATTTTCCAGACCCACTTGCCTAAAAAAGCTGAGTTAAATACTCTCAAATTCTTTATACCCCCTCCCTCTTTTATTGGACTACAAATATTTTTCCATTTGATCGAGTTAATTTTACGTACCTCCTCGCTACCTCCCCAAAGAAATTGTTTAAATAAAGATTCGAGTTTGGCGATTGTCATACCCTAAATTTGTCCTACCCTTATACTTTCATTTGGCTTATGCATCTTGCACTTTTCGTATGCATTACTTCCATTAGATCATTTAACATTGCATGCATCCACCAACAACAAGGTTTGGTGCTTGGATCAATGGTCATGGGATTAAGGTTTCGTATTAGTGCTAGGATTTCGCATCTTTCGCAGGGTTTATTTCAACTGAAGATGCCAAGGTCATGGATTATTGTTTTTGTCCCTTATGCTTAAGATTGTCAAAGGTATCCTCCAAGGCCTGGCCATGCATTTTCTCCTCAATATCTTGGTTTTCTTCATCACATGTGATAATTACATGGTTGCTCATACAAGCCCGCGTGATGAATCTACAAAGGCTTGATATTACATCCCCTAAGACCATTTCTTCAACACCTGAGCTTGTCTATCTATTGAGGAAAGCTCCCATTGTTATTTGTAGCACAAGTTATCCTATTGCCTTCTTTTGAGGACTTTGAATTGGGGAATGGAAGCTTATGTGTACCATCATTCAAAGGATTCTATCATTATTTGAAGTGCTAATTCCTAAGGCAGTCTTGATGTGTTTGTAGCGAGATAGAGGTTTCATGTGGCTTAGGCTTCTCGTCATCGTGTAAAGATTGATTCATTTGGGCCTCATCATCATCGTTTGATGATCATTTCCCTATTTGGATTGCAAGTCATTGGCTTCGAATTTCTGCAAGAGTATGTGATGGAATTTGTGCACTATTTGAAGGTTGAAAGGTTTGGATCAAAACTTTGACTTTTGACCAAATTTTACATCAACTTTTTTGGACTCTCTTATCATGGTTCATTTAAGATTGCTTCAAAGACAACTTGGTGGAAAATTTGAGATTTTGAACATAAGACCAAGGTTTCTTAAAGCGCAAGCATGGCACTAAGTGATGCAAATCTCTTGTACAAGCATGGAGTAAATTCATGTTTGGATCAAGTTGTCAAAACTGGTTGGAACTTGCAAAATTGGAAAGGAACTACTTGGATTTTTCGGAATGTAAGGCATAATTTGCAAGGGCATACACCATGATTCAAGGATTACAAGCCTTATTCAAATTCACTCAAAATGCATTCATCTCAAAATTCATATAATATTGACCCAAAGGTTAGACTTATTCATGATTGCCAAGACCCATTCAAGTATTGATTCAAGCATTAACATGCTACGATTATCCAAATTTAATCGACAAGTTTCAGAACCAAACAAGTTTCATCATCCAAAAATTATTCATGTTCGTTCAAAATTACAAATGTACAATTTGCAAGCCATATTGATATTACACATTGGAGCATTACAAGAGGAGAGTTACAAGAGCTATTTCTAAGTTGCTAAACTCATAAAGCTACTAAGATCCAAGCTTCACAACCATGCCTTGTCTTCATGTCAAACCAAGCCTCCATCTTTCAATCTACTTCAAGCTTTGACCAAATTGATGCATATCCATTCTTCCAAAATAGCCAAGCAGACCCTGCACATGAGATCAGCCCAACCAAAAATCCAGACCAGAAAAAACAATTGGAAACAATTCACAAAAACTAAATTTAAACCTTGAACCAGCTCATCATTTCAGCCATGTAGAAAAATGAACAACGAAAATCCAGTCAGCATTGCGTACTTTCATACCAGAATAAGACAGTCCACGCTTGATTCATTCAGAAGCCAATTCGCAAAACCTGTTCGGACAATCCAAAATAAAAACAGATTAACTAGCAATTCAAGACCAATTAACCAAACTATCCAAACTAGAAAAAACAGTTCAGTACTAATCCGTAACAGACTTTTTAAACTTCAATCCATCCTCACAAATTTGGACCAACTTCTATAAACTCCTTGTTCCACCATCACCAAGCTTCATACTAAACTTGCAAACTGTACTTCAATCTCATGCTATATCGAAATCCAGGTCCAAGACTATGTTTGACTACCCAATGAATTGTCCCATAACCGGCATCATTCAGCACACTAGCCCTACACGAATCACACATAAAATCAGTTCAAACCTGCAACTCAAAAAAAAAGAGAGACGATTCTAAAGACAAAATCAGAACCGGGAATACAAAAAAGAAGAAAATCGGGAGAATTGAAAAACTGAATTTAACAGCACATAACTACTCAAACAAAACCTCCAACTAACTTTCAGATTTTCTAACTAACCAACTCTCTAACAGTCCTAACTGCTTCGATCCAAACCCTCCAATTCTCTAACAGAAATCCATAATCAATGGCTAGGATTCAGTTCAATGCTAACCAACTTTCAGTTTTGACATAATTACCAGATTGAGGTTTCAGTTTCCTAAACTAACAGTTGTGACAGTTAACATTAACTATTAACTCCTCTTCCTGATAATAACAGAAAATAGAATAACTAACTCAAAACAGAATTATAACTAACCTCTAACTGATTCAATCAGTGCCCTTAATCCTCTAACTGCTTCCCTTCAATCAATGGCAATGGCTGAGATTTGTTTCATCCCTAACTGTTTTCATCTTCAACTCATCCTATAAAAGCTAACCTCCACGATCTTCACTCTTCACCCACCATAATCCACACGATCCATTTTCTTCCAGTTTCAAACTCCATCTTCCATCATCCTCTGAACTCTCTCAAACTCTCCTCTCCAAATTCTCTCATCTTCTTCGTCCAAACTACATCGTTTTGATTCACTTTCTTTTTTCTTTTTTTAAAATTTTCTTTTCTTTTAAAAATAATAATTTAAATAATGCTGAAAATGAATTGGACTGGACCCAAAATCACAATTCTCTTGCTAGGCCCGTAAGCTATTCTTGGAACAATTGAGAGCTGAAGGACAAAAAAATCTTACTTCTGAACTGTATCTTGTTGGGCTTAGTGCTCATTTTACAAAACCTACACCCTGCACTCTAACTTCACCCCCCTCTGATCTTATTTTTTAGCATTTTCTTTTAATTTTCCTTTAATTTTCTTTCCTCATTTTTAATAGATAAATAGTAATAAAAATACAACAGTAAAAAACACTAGTGGATTTAGAATAATTTTAGAATTTTAATTGAGTATTTTTCGTTTAATTCCTCCATTTCTTTTATGAGTCCTTTTACAATTTTTCATGATGTTGTTACTTGTTTTTGATGAATTTCATGATGAGTAATTGATGATTGACAATACATGAAATATTGTTTGTGTTGGTTGGTGTACTTGATTGATTCATGATCTCTTAGGAGTTTTTGGTTCAATTTTAATCTTTGATTAAATTGAACTAAAATTAGACTTTAGGTTTTAAAATCAAGCATGACAACATTATGTAGAATTCTCTTAATCCAAAATTTAGGTTCATGATGCATGACAATATTAAGATTAGTTTCACTTAGCCATTTTCTCTTTCTTTTACATTCCACCAAGACTAAAATTTTCTTTTTCTTAAATCAAAATTTCAAAACACTTAATAAATAATTGATGAAAGCCACACCTCCAAGAGTCTTTAGTAATGTGGAGAATGAGAGACACTGACTTGTTCTTCTTTAATTCATAAGTCTCTGATGTGATTCAAATCCCCAAACTCTATTTTCACAAAGTAGAGGGGTGATAAGTGTCCTAGCAGTGGAATTTATTTATCATCTTAACTACAAAAATACTCAACCAATTCAAATTCCTTTTGCCTTCGGGCTTTTATTTTGAAAACCTTTTCAAGTAAGAACATGTTAATTTCTTTCTACGATAATTACGCGAGTCTTTAAAGATCGAGCGACGGTAGAATGTGAAATTAGCATCATTCATTAAAAAACACAAACAAACAAAACTTTTGAGTCGAACTACAACGCTCTAATTCCTTAAAGGGATATGTAGGCATTAGGTTGCAGGGCCTAAGCGAGCATAACTATTTAAACCCTTTGTAGATATTGAGAGACGAGTTTGAACGCTTGCATGAATGCGAGCGTGTTCGGGTGAAGTTTGGAGGGTGCCAATTGTAGCCACTGAAAAAAACCCCACTTGAAAGTTGTTGAAGGGAAAATGCATTCTCGCCTTTTTAAATGTAAATCCGTACATGGGGAAACTCTTGCCCGGATACGTCGAGCATATCCTCCTTTTACAATGAGGAATTTGGAGAATCCAGTTGGCAGGGGCCCCCTCAGCTCGTACTTCCGGAAAGTTGAACGTGTCTGTTGCATCGTGCGAAAAGCACGACCTCTTATTTCTAGGCTCAAGTGAGACCCATGCCAAAGGGTCCTCCTCGACATTGATTTCATCTTCATGGTTGGAGGGTAAGACGTCTCCCCCCCCCCCCCCCCCCCCCGACGAGATGTGCCATTATCCCTGAAAATCAGGGGGAAATAGTGAATTCAACGTCATCAAATTCACCCTTCCACCGCAAATCAAGTGTGAAAGTAGGGATGACAACGGGTCGGGTCGGGTGCGGGTTTCACACTACCCACACCCGCACCCGAAATCATCACCCGAACCCGAACCCGAAGGCTATTCGGGTGACAAAATCACACTCGCGCCCGCACCCGTTGGGTTCGGGTTTTTTCACCCAAACCCAAACCCGCACCAAAAATCAAAAAAAAATTACAATTAAAATAAGGTCTCTTTACATTGTCTTCAAGAAAATGCAATCACAATTATCTTAACATAGTCTTCAACATCTTAACATTACAATTAAAATTAAATTCTACAATCAAATTACAACTTTTCAACAACAACAAGCTAATATATTACAACTTTCTTGTGTAAGATTAGATGTTCCTTCCGGCTCCGGAGTTGTGTTCACTTGATCTATTTTACCTATTACAAAGAAAATATATTTCACATGTTAAGAAACACTAATAGATATTATCATCATAATTTTAAATTGTAATAACAAACATATAAGAAAATGTTTTTCACTGCCTTTTTATTGATCATGAACATGTATTATATACAAGAATTACAATCTGCATAATAGGAAACTAATTATGCCTAATCAATGTAAATATTCTTTGACTTTATATCTCATTAGTGTACAATATTTGTTCCAAATATAGATATGTTCTGTCACACCCCCGCAGTTGAAGCGGGAGGTTGACGTACGCTTAAACTGTCTCGGAAATCTTGAAATAGTATTAGGGGAAGACCCTTGGTGAAAATATCCGCAATTTGATAGCGCGATGGAACATGCAAGACGCGTATCTGTCCGCGAGCTACTTTTTCACGTACAAAGTGAATGTCCATCTCAATATGTTTTGTACGTTGATGTTGAACAGGATTACCAGAAAGATATATGGCACTTACGTTATCACAGTATACCATAGTAGCTTTGTGTATCGGATAATGTAGCTCGAGGAGTAGGTTACGTAACCAGCATGACTCAGAGACGACATTGGCAACTCCACGATATTCAGCTTCAGCACTGGATCGGGAGAGTGTGGGTTGTCGTTTAGACGACCATGATAATAAGTTGTCTCCAAGAAAAACACAATAGCCTGAAGTAGAGCGTCTAGTGTCGGGACATCCTCCCCAGTCAGCATCTGTGTAAGAAATCAAAGATGTAGTGGATGATGGATAGAGATGTAAACCGTAGTGACTAGTTCCCTGAATGTAACGCAAAATTCGTCGGAGAGAGTGCATGTGATCTTCCATGGGGTCATGCATAAAAAGACATATTTGTTGTACCGCATATGTGATGTCGGGTCTCGTGAAAGTGAGGTATTGGAGAGCACCAGCAAGGCTACGGTATAATGATGGGTCTTCATAGGGAGTGCTAGTCTTGGCGCTAAGCTTCGGTTTAGTGTCAACCGGAGTGGGACATGATTTGCATGATGACATGCCTGCTCGCTCAAGAATTTCATCTGCATACTTTTTCTGAGATAAGAACAGACCACCATTATGTCGAGTAACTGCAATACCCAAAAAATAATGGAGTGGTCCCAAGTCTTTCATAGCAAATTCAGAGCTGAGTCGTGATATTATAGACTTGCGAAGATCATCAGAAGAAGCGGTGAGAATGATGTCGTCCACATAAAGAAGAAGATAGGCCATGTGTGTATCTTTCCGGTAGATGAAAAGAGAGTTGTCTGACTTGCTTTGAGAAAACCCGATAGAATATACATAATCTGCAAATCGTTTGTACCAAGCTCTTGGAGCTTGCTTTAGCCCATACAAAGATTTTCGCAGACGGCAGACATGATGAGGATGATTTGGATCCTTAAAGCCCAAAGGTTGATGCATATACACTGTTTCTTTGAGTTCACCATGTAGAAAAGCATTCTTGACGTCTAACTGATGAATTTTCCATGCTTTAGATAAGGAAAGACTGAGTACTGTTCGGATGGTGGTTGGTTTAACAACCGGACTGAAGGTCTCCCCACAATCTATGCCAACCTGTTGACCTGCACCGTTACCTACAAGTCGGGCTTTATGCCTCTCAAAAGAACCATCAGATTTTTCTTTATGCCTAAAAATCCACATAGAACGAATAACATTTGCATCAGGTGGACGGGGCACTAAATCCCACGTCTTATTTTGAATAAGAGCATTGTATTCATCATCCATAGCCATTTTCCAATTTAGGTCTTTTAGTGCTAACACTGGGTTACGAGGGAGAGGAGATTTTGTAACTTCGGTGTGGAGATTGATGTATTTTTGGTTTGGTTTAAAAATGCCATGTTGGCTCCTCGTAACTGGTTTGTTGTTAGAATTAAGGGTAGGTTGGTAAATGGGAGGAAGTGGGATATTTGGCGGAGTAGATGTGGATGGCAAAGTTTGGGCCAATTGAGAGGTAGTTTGGGCCGGTTCTGATTGGTCATGGGTTTGAGACTGTTGCTGAGTGATGTGGGTCGGTGTCATTGGATATGGGTCAGGTTGAGTGATGAGGT